GCATAAAAAAGTTCTGAAGCCCACTCAACCGTCTTCAACTCGCCGGCATCGAGATTTCGGTAGCTAGGGTGAACGATAGTTACATCAGTATTCCTGGTTGACTCAGAGTTAGAGTCACGTTGTGACGATTAAGCTGTCATTTTTTCACCTATTGACGAGTTACTGTTAATGCGATGTGAAAGACTTCATCTTATATAACCAACAATACACCAAGCAGATTGTTCACAGACTTCCGTGTAATTTGAAATAAAACTATCATCCGAACAAGGGGCATCGTCGACGATATACTCTCATCACTCACACTGGGCTGATCTGAATCTTCACAGTATACCGTACTTCAATGATCATAAGCCCGGAGGCATGAACACGTAAGGGAAAAGTAAGGGATGAGCTTGTACTCGAGGACCAACTCAGAAAAAATGATTTTGTTTTGGGGTTAAACACTGAAACCATCTTGCAAACAAGGAATTATTATCCAAACAAATTATTCGTTCACCACGCCGGGCTCGGGGAAAATAATACTTATTTTTGAAAAAAAATGCGTCATTGATTTGAACGACTCTTACAATGAAGAAACAAACATGTTCATAAAAAACACACACATTTTATTACAATACGATTTATATACCGTCTGAATTTACGGTGAAATAATGGGTAGGGTCTGTGAGGAAACAGTGAACGAAGGCATTTATCATTATCTTCGTTTCGGTATGTTTTCGATCGTACGGCAAGCAATTTTCCACCATGAGGTTTTTCAGCACGATTTGACCTGGAACAACTTCCTTTGACATAACAGGTCATGTCTTTCTTTAACCAATCAAAATGATGTGTCGTAATGATGAATTTTTCCGATTATTGACGATGATTTTTAACGCAATGCGGAAGTGAATTACCGCAATGTTAAAATGCGACCTGTAGCACTGATTGCAACGAAAAAAACGATGATTTTTTCCCTAAAAACTGACGATTCGCAATTTCCGAAATATAAACGACGGTTAATAGTAACCGTGGGTAAACTGAGTGTGGAGGAAGAATTTAAACACCTTTCGCGGTCGCCAACATGTCTCATCGTTCAAACCTTAGGCCTTTCATGGTATTCTCAAAGTAAACCATGCCCAATAACAAGGTACACTACTTAACGATCACATTTTTGGCTTTTCGAAAGCTACTACTCGAAGAAATACGGATTACTCCAGAATTGCAACATCGGGGTTCATCCTGAGTAAATGACAGAATAGAAAAGATGCGAACCACGTTGTGTACGTTCGCCATGCACTCGTCGAATATCGTCGACGCCCAGTAAAAACACTCTTATAATCGTGAATGCTCTCAACTCGATAAATACCAAGTAAAATATAGGGAAGTACGGTACTTTGACGTAATTGGGCTTTCACTCTCAGAATACTGTGGTTCAAACGCATAAGGCTCTAACCCAAGTTATAAAAAGCACATTGTGCATATAAAAGTTGAGTTTATACTAGTAGTACACAATGCTTGGCAGCAGGAACGGCTATGTACAATGGCGTATACGAATGCGATCAGATACTAAATCGTCATAGCTTTGAAAAGTACACGGATGTTAAATATGTTCGTTCGTTATTTATTCCCCTCCATGAATGGCCTCCATAGTGTTTAATTGCAAGCACTTCAAATGCCTATCCAAGCTACAGTTATAATTATTATACCACTGCAATATTATTTCGAATACAGTTTAGAATATACACAACTATAAATAAGGCCGCATTTAGGTTCGCTTTAAGACACAGGCAGTTGAAGTTGAATAAGTTGAAGTGACGGTAGACAATCCCAATCGAAATTAATCAAAAATGCTTTATGTGTGGCTGCTTAGTATGTACTGACGGAGGACTTAGAATCAATTAAGTGACCTAATTAAGAAAGTAGTTACACAATAATCACTGGAGGGAGAGGAAGAACGGAGAGGTAGGAGTGGGAGAAGGAGAGGGGCGGAAGAAAGAGAGAGAGAGAATGTGAGTACATTCATGTAGATTAACTTCATTTCAATGTGATTGGCAATTTATATAAATTCCTTATTTGTCACATTTGTCTGATTGGTATCAATCACTGCCAGAAAAAGTGATTACTGACATGCCAGAATTAACCTGATGACATCTAGGCAAGTTTATTATGAAATGTTATGTCATGTGACTATGACCTAATTTGTCTTGCACTTGTTCAGGCCGACTATTTTGAATACTGTGATCTGTACACTCACATTCTTTGACACGTGTACAGCGTGGACACAAGGGTCACAAACAATTGTACATATATGCATATAATATAATGACGCTTACATTATTAAAGAGCGGTGGTCGTCGCGCTGCGCATGTGCAACATTTGCGATGATAAACAATGATTTTCCCACAATCCGATGTGATCTTCTAATGGAAATTACGAGTTTCACCCTTGGCACGACGAGTGATAATTACCGCCGTCGACTTATTGCATGCCAATCGTCTACATAATTAATGCCTAGTAACGTCTCGTTGATTTGCACAACAGTCTCAGTCGCCATTTTTGTTTATATGAGACCCATATCTCGCGCATACGTTGCGCGACGACCACCGCCCTTTAATATAATTATTGTGGGTGATGTACTTGTGGGTGATGCAAGTTAATTGTTTTGTTCTCGTGGCCATAAAGTTCTTTATAAAACTAAATGAATTTCTTCTTACAGATACTGATGTCGTTACTACTTATAGCAACTATTTTGACACTATACAGTAGATTCACACCCGGGCCACTGCCATTTAACGTGTCACGTGATAGTAGATGGTTCACCACACAACCATCACCAATCACACCATCAACGTGCCAACCAGCAGAGAATATGGTCTTTATAAAAACTCATAAAACAGGAAGCACTTCACTTCATTGCATCTTTTGTCGCTACGGATATGCAAATAAACTCTCATTCGTGTTTTCCACGCGCAATACAAAAGACGGACATATACGAAAAGAGCATCTCAATCAGTCGATAATACTGCCACCGATTGGTGGCTTTGTTAATTCATCTTCAAAATACAATATACTTACTGGTCATGTGTCGTACAAGAGGAAAACAATAAACTCATTCATGGAGGACAACCCTATTTATGTGACTATTTTAAGAGAGCCAGCCACGCACGTAGAGTCACATATGAATTTTTTCAGTCAAAGAAAACAAGTAATGGCGTCCATGCAAGCATTCCTTAAAAAGCCACGTACCTCAAAAAATGAGGCGGGTAGAAATAATCAGTTGAGAGAATTTGGATTGTCATTTGAATCAACACTCAATGAAAGGATTGTAAATGAAACCATTATGACACTGGACAAAGAATTCGACCTAGTTCTTATACTTGAATACTTCGACGAATCTCTGATTCTGTTGAAACATTTGCTGTGCTGGAGTTTTGAAGACATAATATATTTAGCACAAAATCAACGTACCACACGTGAAACCATCACAGACACATTTCGACACAACGTATATAGGTGGTCAAATGCAGATTATCTCTTTTACAATTATTTCAACAGAACATTGTGGGAAAAAATTCGACAATTTGGACCACGTTTTGAAATCGAATTGGCACACTTTCGGGATCTTTTGAAAGAACATAGCAAACAAATGGCACTATAAGGAGTAATTTGAAACGAATTGTTCATAAAAGTAGAAATAATACACAACTTTGCCAACAGTTGACATCCAGTAACATGGATTGGTATCGCCGTATTGCAGTGCGACAAGACCCTAACAAATTCGCCAAAAAGTTCAAATTTAATGAGCAAATCTAATTTAGGAAATGGTAATCCTATTCGAAAATCCTTCGACCACTGTATAATTGTTTCTTCGACGTTTTGTGATTATATTTTCTGTTCTGAACATTTTCTATTTTGATCATTTTCTTTAGCATTGGTCTTTTTAAGTTTTCAGCATTACATTATAATTTTCAATGCGATGAAATTATTGCCCAGAATTAAATATTTTATTGTTATCACATGCGTATCCCCACAGTGTGACGTCATCACTTGATGAAACTATTTTCAGTAAACAAAATATGATTTTGAAACAAGTGACTACTTTAATTATAGAATAAATGTTAATGAACTAAGAAAACCAATAATTTGAAGGAAAAGTGGGACGATTTATTTAAAAAGTTCATGTAGTTTTAGCGCGTTATATATATTTTCTGTCATATGGCGGATGTGAATTTTGATCTCCTAGGAAATAGCTAAGTTGCAGAACTGTAAGGACTGATGGTTTAACAACGAATTTAATACACTGACAACACACCAGCGTGAAATCGACTTTCTATCTCGCGTGATTTCGGGCGAAACAATCAGAACATCTCGTATTATTCAGCAACACAAAATTATTTGAGTTTCGGGTTTCTCAGGAAAGTCGTCAGTTCAATGGGGTCATATCAGCATACGACACAAGACAACATGGTTCAAACAAGAGCCCGCGAGAGTAAATAAACTTAACATTCTAGAATCAGTTTGCTGTTTTGAGCGTAAGATCCCCGTCTAAACATCGATACGAATATTAGATAATGCAATTCCTGGCTTCTTTTGTTTGTATGTCACGGATACGTGAAATTAAGTTAAAACACCAGCAGCAAACACATCATTCACGGTTATGCAAGCATTCGACATATATTTCAACAACGGGTAGTAATTTCAATAGAAATAGAGTTCATAGTGGGTCATATCGCGTTCCATAAAAATAGACCAGCTGAAAGCGAAGTTCGTTCTCGATTTATACTACGAAAAACGAAAACTATGTGTATGCATGTGATCAATATAAAATCCTGTGATATTTTCTCTCAGTTCAAAGTCAGCAAACACTCTTATCAGTCTTATTATTAATATGGATTGTTTACACCTTCGTCGAGTGAATATTATACCATTATTATTTTATTATGTTTACAATATTTTATCAATGGGAATACTTTCACCATCATTGATTAATTATCATACCATTATTGTTTTATTGTGTTTACATTGTTTTATCATTATCGTGGAATTCTTTCACTATCATTCAGTAATTATTATACCATTATTATTTTATTGTGTTTACATTATTTCATCATTATTGTGGAATTCTTTCACTATCATTGAATAATTATACCATTATTGTTTTTACATTGTTTTATCATTATCGTGGAATTCTTTCACCATCATTGAGTAATTATGATAGCATTTTTGTTTTATTGTGTTTACATTATTTTATAATTATTGTGGAATTCTTTCACCATCATTGAGTAATTATTATACCATTATTATTTTATTGTGTTTACATTATTTTATCATTATTGTGGAATTCTTTCACTATCATTCAGTAATTATCATACCATTATTATTTTATTGTGTTTACATTATTTCATCATTATTGTGGAATTCTTTCACTATCGTTGAATAATTATACCATTATTGTTTTTACATTGTTTTATCATTATCGTGGAATTCTTTCACCATCATTGAGTAATCATGATACCATTTTTATTTTATTGTGTTTACATTATTTTATAATTATTGTGGAATTCTTTCACCATCATTGAGTAATTATTATACCATTATTATTTTATTGTGTTTACATTATTTTATCATTATTGTGGAATTCTTTCACTGTCATTCAGTAATTATTATACCATTATTATTTTATTGTGTTTACATTACTTTTTCATTATTGTGGAATCATAATGTGATTATTATGCCATTATTGTTTCATTATATTATTACCTTTGTGATTACGCCAGAGTAGCATCAGTCCTTGTCTGCGACTCCGATTAACTCCGAAACACTTAAAAAGATGAACTTTTTATCTTTCTATGTAACTTACCACACACCGATATTAAAGTGATAAGAGCTGTAACTATCAATCTTTTATCTCTGATTCTCATTTCCAATAAAACCTTTCCCTTTCATTAGTATCCATCTGTAAGGGCTATTGCTGAAATGTGAACAATTAAAGCATTGCATACACCCTATATACCGACGTTGTACATTACGGTTTCATACCACGAAATGAACTATCAGCGTTAAAATCATATGGTTGGTATTAGGCAATGGGTTTTTTCACTGGATTTTATCTAAAA